GAAAACATGGCAATTCCTCAAAAATACTTAAATATAGAGTTAACATATGACCCAGTAATTCCATTTCTGTTTACCCAAATAAAATTAAAATATTAACGAAAGGAAGGATAAGTTAATTCAGAAAGATGTATGCACCCCTATGTTTATTGCAGCATTTTTTACACAGTCTAAGCATCCATGATAGATTAGTGGATAAAGAAAATGTGATATATATCCACAATGAGATATTACTCAGCCCACAAAAAAAGAATAAAATCTTGCCATTTGTGACAACATGGATGGTCCTAGAAGGTGGTATACTAAGTAAAATAAGTCAGAAAGGAAAAGATAAATACCCTGTGATTTCACTTACATGTGTAATCTAAGGAACCAAAGGTAAAATAGATGCATAAATACAGAGAGTAAAGTGATGTGTGCCAGAGGAGTTGGCGGGGAGGGGTAGGTGAAATAGGTGAAGGGAGTAAAGAGATAAAACTTCCAATTATAAAATAAAAATGTTATGGGGATGAAAAATATGGCATAAGGAACATAGTGACACTGTAGTAACTTTGTCGGCAGATGGTAACTACATTTATCCTGGTGAGCATCTCATAATGTATATTGTTGAGTCACCATGAATGTGATAATGCATGTCCACTATAAAAAAATTGCAATATACAGAAAAAACAAAAACATCCTTCTGTGAAGAAACAAGGCAAACAACTTACCTGAGAGATGATCCATATTTTAGAACTGTCAAACGAGGAATTTAAAGTAACTGGTTAATACATTAAAGGCTTTAGAAAAGATGGATAATATACATGAATAAATGCGGAACATTGGCAGATAGAAAATATAAAAAATGAAATGCCAGAAAATGAACAAAGAATGCATTCAACAAACTCATCGGTATATTCAGTATATATGGGGAAAAAAAACCAATAACCAACAAAAAACAGTACTATCAAATGATCAAATATACATCTAATTGGAATTCCAGAAGGGACATGGAACATTCATCAAAGTAGACCATTTCTGGTTCATAAAATAAAAAGCTCAGCAAGTTTAAAAGAGTAAGAATGATAAATAGAATTTCATCTGGCCATAACAAGAGTTAAATTAGAAATTAATAACAAAAAAAATGGACAATTAAATATTTCTGATTAATCCATGAGTCACATTGGAACTCGCAAGGGAAGTTAGGAAATTTTTATTTGAATGAAAATGAAACACAGCACATGTAGGATGCAGCTAAAGCAAATATTTAGAGGTAAATTTATAGTAGTATATGTTATAATAGAAAAGAAAAAATGTCTTTAATAGTTTAAGCTTCCACCTTAAACTATGCAAAGAAGAGCAAACCAAATTAAAGCAAGCAGGAAGCAGGAAACATATAAAAGCAGGAATCAGTGAAATTAAAAATCAGATTCAATAAAACCATTGAAACCAAAAGCTAGTCCTTTGAAAATATCAAGATTGATAAATCTATAGCCAGAATAACCAAGATAAAAGAAAACAAATTGCCAATAAGAGGAATAAAAATGAGCATATCAGCACAGGTCCAGAAGACACTGAAGTGTAATAATGGACTATTATGAATAACTGTTTCATATATTTGACAATTTATGAAACATAATTTCTTTGGAAGACAAGCATTAATCACCACAGTTAATTCAAGAAGAAATAGATAACCTCAGTAGTTCTGTATCTATTAAATAGATTGAATTTGTTATAAATCTTCCAACAAAGAAATCTTCAGACCTACATTGCCTCACTGGTGTGTTCTACCAACTGAAGAAACAATACCAATTCTATACAAACTGTTAACAGAAAATAGAAAGGAACGCCTCCCAATTTATTTTATGAGGCATTACCCTTATGACAAAGACATGCCAAGAAAAGGAAGAAAAAAAACAAAAACTAATATCCCTCATGAACACAGACACCAAAATCCTGAGTATTAGTAAATTAAATCCAGCAATAAGTTAAAACGATAAAACATCATGACCAAGTAGAATTTATTCTGAGAATTCAAAGCTGATTCAGCAGTCAAATATCAGTGTCATTCAGCATATCAACAGACTAAAGAAGAAAAACATTTACCATCTTAGTAGATACAGAAAAAGAATGTGACAAAATGTAGCATCTGTTTATGATAAAATTGCTCAGCAAACTAGGAATTGAAGGTAACTGCCTCTTTCCTTGAAAAACATAGTTAACATACTTCATGGTAAAAAATGGAATGCTTCCCCTTAAGATTAGTAATAAGCGAGGGTGTTTGCCCTTGTTATTCCTAGTCAGCACCATGCTGGAAATCCTACCTGGTGCCGTGTGGCAAGGAAAAAAGTAGTGAGAGGCATAAATAATCACGGAAACATTCCAGTGCTACCACAAGAGAAACCAAACACATTTTAGGTATTACCTTAAAATCAGTGTTGATGTTCAGTTCCTTTATCCACTATCCACTCTTAGCTTATAACCTTTGAATGGACTTATAAGTTTATTTTCTTATCGTGGCCACTGACCAACCTGTTAAACATCTTGTAGGGGCATAATCTTTCTTATTCAGCTGTATGGGATACTTGATTTTTAAATAAAGTATAGGTAGGCTAGAATTTACAAAGTAATGTGACTGTCACACAGTCTCAATACATAACAAAAAAAGAACTCTAAATTATTCATTTAAAAGGAATGTTTTCTCTCAGAGTGAACTATTATTTGAATTAATACCATGAGACTAATTTATCATAATTTGTTATTAAAACTTCCAGAAACTTGATTTTGAGTATTTGAGCATTTGGCTGATAGCCACAGCCTACAGCTTCAAAGCCAACAGTGTAGCATCTTCCAATGGTCTCTTAACTTTCTGTTTTTGCTCTCGTTACACCTTCTTGTGAGTGTGATCCTTCTGCATCCCTCTTACAAGAACCCCTGTTAATACATTGGGTCCATCCAGATAATCCAGGATTATCTCTCCAATTCGAGATGCATAAATTAATCCCATCTACAAAGTCCCCTTTGCCATGTAAGGTAATGTATTCACAAGTTCCAGGAGATTAAGACTTGGTCATCTTGTGGGGGTTGGGGGGTGGACATTATTCAGCCCGCCACAGGTGATATACATGCATATTAATAATCTAACAGTATAATAAATAATTTATTAGGAATAATATACATAATTCTGGCAGTTATCAGACTTTAAGTAGCTCATATAACCATGAGAATAGGGAAGCTTTTGGAGTAGCTGATGATAGAACTGAATTTTGGGAGATAAGTAAGAATCCATTAGGCAAGAAAGACCAAGAAGAGTCCAGGCAAAATGCTGTGTCAGAACTATGGTAAGAGTGCCCATGTGAGATTGCTGTCTTCCTTAGTAACAGTACTTTGCCTCCACGGTAATGGGAGGCTGTATGAAGTAAGTGGGAATGGAAGAGGAGGAACAGCTAAGTTGAAGTAAGGGGCCCATAGCAAAAGACCTACACCCCATCTTATTTTCATGGCTGTTCTCCTTTGGGGCTAGCCCTCCATCTGGTGATTCAGGGCTCTCTGTTCTGTCACCGTGTCCATTCAAGTGTGAGAGGATCAAAAGTCAGTCATTTTATTATTAATATTCAGTATGTTTAAGACATTTGACTCATGAACATAAATGCATTTTTTATGAGAAAATTACTTCAGCTCATGTTTGTATTTCAATTATTTTCTTCCATTAAAACTCTTGAAAACAAGTGAGAATATCAGAGTGGGATGCAGGGAAGAGAGCTGGAGCAGTGTTGGATGCATCAAACTTACTACAAAAGGCCAGTTAGTTGGTGTTGATTTTGAAAATAAACCTCACTTAGCTAGTGACTATCAGGAGCAAAGGGAGAGATTAGTCTGTGAACACTGTGTGCCAACCGGTTCCCCTTCTGTAGAGACCAAGTATCTGTCCCATCAAAGCCTTATCCCCACGCATTGTTGGGGCACGAGAAATTGGGTTAGCTCTGTCACTGGGTGACCAGCAGCCAGTGCTCACACGGCTGTACCAATAAATCCTCTTGCTCAGGAGCCATTTCACAGCTTTCCCTGATGGATACACATCAGGTCTCCACCTCTGGTTTTTAACTCAGTTTATTCTCCAGTCTGCTCTAAAACTCATGGCAGAAATTTACTATGTATCAAGTATGCATATTTTATGTTTTCAACATTTGATGTGATTTTGTTGGTACTGAGGCATTTTTAACTCTGACAATAACATTTTTAATAGAAAAGATCATGGCAATGTATATCATTAAAGGAAGTACTCCTTCCTGTAGATGGGATTATGAGTCTCAACTTGATGATTTTATATTAAAATGAATTCCTTTACCATCAGTATTACAATAAAAATAAATATTCTTGACATTGATACTATAATTAAACTGTACAAAGTAACTTAGAAACATCTGAGTTTGAATCGCAGTATTATAAATTTTGTGTTTAGCCTAGAATGAGTTACTCAGGCTTTCCAAGTATGTTCTTTCATGTATTAAATGAAGATAATAACAGCCTTTTGGTTTGTTGAGATTAATATTTATAATATGTCTGGCATATAGAACATGCTTGTAAATCCTAGTAGCTATCTTTGTTTTTGGTGATTATTACAAGTCATCATTTGTGAACTCATATTTGTATTCTGTAGTTTAAAAAATAATCTTATAAAATTTCTGCTTTATATCATGCTTTTAAATTAGTTACTAATAGTTGAAAAGTAATATTGCATAGTGGTTAAGAACATAGACTCTGGGTTCAGATCTTAGCTCCACAGCTTATTACCAGACTGACCTTGGGCGAATTACTTAAATGCCCTGTGCTTTACTTCCCTCAGCTTTAAAATGGACAGAACAGTAGTACATTTCTCCTAGGGGCATTATGAAGAGTTAATCAGATGTATAAAAAGTCTAGAACAGTTGCTGTCATATAGTGTCATGTGTCAGTTGTTGTCATCATCATCACTATTATTAATTTGTTCAGTCAATTATTGTTTTTGTCACTTTTTATTTTAGGTGAATCTTGGAAGCAACCAGTACCTTTTCTCTGTCGTAGTGGATCCTAAAGAAATGCCCTGCTTCTGTCTGCGCCATGATGTTGATGCCCTGCTCTGGCAGCCACACTCCAGCAAGCAAGATGATATGTGGGAACACATTGCAACTTTCAATGCTTTAGGTATAAAAGAAGCTCTTTGACAGCATTTTCTATTACATAAAAAAATCACAGTCATCATTTTTTTAAAAGCTCATTTCTATTTTCTTTTTTAAAAATTTGAGCTGTCCTAGTTATGTTTGGATTGATTTGTGCTGTAATTTGGTTGCTTGAACTGTTGTTGATAAATGTTAGTTTTTCTGGAACAGTAAGACTAATTCTGTTTCTATGCTTGAAAAAAAGATGAACACATATTATAAATGAAAGTGTTATCTAACCACTTGAATCATTGTAATCAGTCATTTACTTATTCCAGTTAAGCTTTATGGTATTAAAATATGAACAAGGGATTTGACAATACCCTACATGAAACTTGTATTCAGGTTTCTTCACAGTAATCTTCAAAAATGTCATATAATTGCTCTAAGGTAATGCACATTAGGAGATACCTTTCATGGAACTTAAGTACAAAAGAGCCTATTTAATGAAAATACTTAGGGAAAATGGTGGTAAACAGAAATGAAATTTATTCTGTAAGGTAAAGGAGGCTATTTTTAAAACTAGAGCTTCAGAAATTTTAAATAACTGTAGACTTAAGCGATAATTGATATTATGTTATGCATTAGCATTGTATGGGGACGTTTTTTATATGAATTAGCCACAGTTACTGCTTTATTGAGAGGCAGTTTTAAACTGGAAGCTGGAAGTAGAATTAGGCATTTTGATTCCTGTGTATGCACAACCCTAATTGTAAAGATTTGTCAATTATTCCTTACAGTTAGTAATATAATAGGCTTTAAAACTGGTTAGAAAAATCCAAATGGATTTTTATGACCTAAAACATGAAGTCTGATTAAATAATTTAAATGTATAATTTCTAGCTTCTCTACTACAATTCCTGTTTTTTTATTCTCCATATTCTTTTTTCAGCCAAAGGAAAGCTCTGTCATAAAATTTGTACGTGTTTGGATCCTCCATTTTTATCCCCAAATCTCCTGTTGTAGAAGAATTCTATGCTTGAGTTTAAGTTAAATCAGCATTATATTAGATATGTAGTCTTGAGATACTACATAAATTATTAGTTTTGTCAAGGTGAGCCTGGAGAGCTAATTACAAAATAGTCAGTGTCTACATCCTTTTCACTTTTTCCTCAAATCCTGTTAATATTAAAAAAACAACACTGATCTGCCTGTGCTCAGTGGGTTCCTTTGCTAATTTAATTCAGTTTGATGAGATCCCAATTTAATGTTTTATTTTTTAATCTCACATGTTACAACATTGTCCCAATTACCATGTCCCAGTCTGAAAATCCTAATTTACATTTCAGAACATAGATGTCCTTTTAATCTGTAAAGATGATTTTTAAAAAGATAAGATTTTTTTCATAGTTTCATTAGTTTTCAAGGGATTTCATAATTATACTTTTTAAATTAGATACTTGAATATTCTTTCAAGCCTGTAGAGGTCTACTTTTGGGAACTGAAGTACAAAAATCCTCTTACAGTGTTGGTATGTGTATAAAAATACCAACATGAGAGAAATAATAAGAAAATGCATTGTGCATATTAGTACCTTCAGGGATGGTGCCTGCATTATGTACACACTCCTGAAATAACTTCACAGTGGTATATCCTATAAGCATTTTCCATTTGATAAGGAGAAAAAGATTATGTAATGCCACATCTGTGTTTCATGAACCTAATTATTAAATTAGCATTTAAAGATACATGTTTTTAGTGCTTTTGATTTTATATTTTTAGTGTGCTAATTTTTTATGAAAATTATATGGAATTACTTTGTCTTGAAGAGATGAAATCTATTTTGTTCCTTAGAAATTAAAGATGTATTTTTGTACCTTTTGGGAGAAGTTCTTTGTGGCTAATCATTAATGATTCAGAATTTTAGCCATTGTTGAGTATTTATGGTATGTATTTTATTTAGGCACTTTAATTTGTAATACAGATTGTAAAATACTAAATGTTAAATCAGAATTTTTCCCCTTCTATTTAATATATAGCTTTCCTTTTCTTTGTCTTACATTTCTTGGTAGGCTACGTCCAAGCATCGAAGAGGGACAAAAAATTTTTCGCCTGTGCTCCAAATTCCTCCTATGCAGCCCTTTGCGAGTGCCTTCGTCGCGTATTCATCTATCGCCAGCCCACTCCCATGTCCACTGTGCTGTACAACAGGAAGGAAGGCAGGCAAGTAGGGCAGGTTGCTAAGCAGCAGGTAGCAAGCCTAGAAACCAGTGATCCTATTTTAGGCTTTCAAGCAACAAATGAGAGATTATTTGTCCTCACTACTAAAAACCTCTTTCTAATAAAAGTTAATACAGAGAATTAATTACTCCAACAATGTGGCTCCTAAGTACTGACAACTGTTCAGTGACAGCTGGAAGCCTGGGCAGTTATACTGTAACCTGTTAAATTTTCATGTGTCAAATAAAATAATCTTGTATAAATTCTGTATTTTCTAAAGGATATTGGAATATATATAAAGGATTATGATTCTATAAAAACTATGGAATGAAGCTGCAAATTTAGAGAAAATTGACTTCTGTAAAAATTGTAAAGATATCATTAGCAAGTATATTTTTTAAAAACAGGCCAGAATCTCATCTTTTATATGACAGATGTACAATTCAGTGTTTAAAAATAAAAATATTTATCATGTACTCTGTTCATTGACATAGTTTTCTTCATTCATACCTATAGAACATGTAGGAGGATAACAGCTAAAATGTTAATTCTTGTAAATACTTATTTAAATGGACTGAATAGCTGAGGTAGAGGGGGAAATATAGCCAGGGCAATATTGTTCAAGTTTGCTGAGAGGCCTTAATTATTTTCTCAAGTTAAGCATAGCTGTATTTAACTTTCATAAATTTGCTCCTCCAAAAAAATAGACAAAGAGAGATCATTAGGTTACACAAAGTGTAGCTTGTATCCATTTCTGCAAAACAAACCATCTAAAACTCAGTGGTTTAAAACAAGGATATTTTATGATTTTTCATGATTTAATGACTTGGCTGTCTCTTCTCTACATGGCCTTTCATCCTCCAGGAGGCCGGACTGGGCTTATTCCCAAGATAGAGAAAACATTCCCAAGAGGGCAAGCCCTAACACACAAGAGCTTATCAAGCCTCTGCTTCCGTCACATCAGCTCTGTTTCCATTGAACAAAGCAAGTCACATGGCCATGTCTAGAACCAATGTGAGAGGTTAATGCACAGGACACAGATAGCAGGAGGGAGGATGCATTGATCATTAATGTAACAGTCTACCACACAAACTATAAATTGGCCTTGTAGTTCTTATATTTCTATGGTTAAAAAAATGTAATCCTGATTATACATTACATATTTTTTGCCATCAGAGTTAGTTTCTCATATTATTTCCTTGGAGTTTTTGGTTTGTGTTTACCTGGAAAGTTATTTACTTTTTATACCATTTTTAGGTGTACTGCTTATAAAACCTCATGTTGGTTTTTATATTTTAATAAGGAAGTTGAGACCTTAACAAGGCAGAAAGGAGGAGGAAAGAGGTATAACATAGAAAGTACTTGTTCCTAACATCTCTCTCTGCCTATCTAGGCCAGTGTTTGGCTGAATTAGTAAAAGGAGAAGCAAGTTTGAGGGTCAGAAAAGGAGGAGAAAAGATGGGGGTTGTATACATGTTCTACAGTATGTCAGAGAGAAGTATTAGGATTCTTGATAAAAAGTTGGGGGAAGTTCTGAGAACTGGTAACAGCTGGAGTCCAAATAGTACTCTGCTAAATGTTAGGAAAGAGATTAGATATCAAGCATCATAAGGTCATGAACTTAAGGGGAAAAAAGTCACAAAATGGTGATATTTTCAGAACTTTTTACTATCATTGTAAAACTTAATGAAAAAGACTAAATGGTGAACTGTTAAAAGTCTTACTATGTGATAGTAGATTTAAATTTTCTTTATAATTTTCCCCAAAGATCATATGTACCCTCTTAGGGAATTTAAGAAAAATAATGGAATAATGTGGTGCTTAATTAACCATATTACTATGTATACATGCAATTTCCAGATAGCAATCAGTTTTCTTTACTTTATACATGTGATTTTTAACACAATTAATGTTTAACTGAAAACTATCAGGCTAATTAAGTCCTAAGCATTGTTGCATATTCATCTATGTTGAGAATAATAAGTCTAGAGCAGTGATTCCAAGCTTTTTTTGCAATGTTGCAAGGATTCCAAATTGAATTCAACTTAAACAATGTTCCAAACTTTAAAAAATAATGAACACATTTAAATGATGTATATACTACAACTATTGTGAATGTAGTACCTTGTATTTTTGTTGATTTTTATAATAAATTATAAATAGGAGTTTATATTATATATATTTATGATAGTAATAAAGTATTGTGTTTTCCCTAGTTAATTTAACAACATTCATTATTTCAACATTTAGTAAGCATCAGTTACATATCACAACATGATGCTTTCAGTGTTAAGTGTAGTGCAGTGCCAAGGATAAAGACAGAATCTACATTCTAGGTAAAATTTTTCTTCTGGTTGGGAAAAAAACATGGGAAGAGTAGGTAGAGTGGTTGTTCTATTAGAAGTTTGATCAGGTATGGAATCCATCAGGAGGCAGGCAGAAGAGTTGCCAGTGGGGAGGGTTAGAAAGAAAAAAGAGTTCAAGAAATTAAGAATGATTAATGATGTATCACTATCACATTTCTGCATAGATGGACAATTATAAGAAGTCACCAGTGCACAGACATTTCTAACATTTTATTAGTGATTATAGAGATAAAACAAATGATAAGTTTATGTATAGCAAAAAATATAATGAGAAATAAAACGTAATAATCACTGATGATTACTGGAAGAATATTTAATTACTTCTTAGTACTAAGGATGTCTTACAGAACAAGTAGTAGGAGTTAAACTAGTAATAACAAGGCCTAATGATGGGGTGTTGGTGTAATCAATAAATGAGAAGTAAGCCCTTCTAAAATAGTATTAAAGAATAATGAGGAAAAATAGCCAATGTGAAAGGTAACCAACTGGATGCCACGATACATTTCGAAGCAGGAATTAAATGAGGTTACAGTATCATTGCATCAGTAAATAAATAGACATACATTTACTTTTTATTTACTTATTAGAAGAAAATATTTATAATCTCAAGGTTGAGAAGGTTTAAGATCCAGAAAGCAAAAACATGAAAAGATTAATGGATCTGATCATTACAAAAAGTAAAATTTCTTTATTACTTGGTTCTGTAAATGGTGATAAAAGCAACACAGTGAGACAATATCTGCCAAATCATAATAGATAAGAATTAAAAATCTGGAATATAAAAAGAACTATTACTTAGTAATAAAAACCAAATGACACAATAAAAAATAAGTCAAAAATAACAGTTGTTTCATAGAATAAAAAAGATGACCAATAAACTTTTTAAGAAATGCTCAGTCTCCCAGGTAATCAGAGAAATTGGTAAAACTTTAAAAGTTTTATAACATTGAATTTTGGCCAGGGTATAGAAAAATGGGAACTCTCCTATGCTGCTGGTGGGAATGTCAACAGGTAGTGAAGGACACTAGGTGATATGTATTCAAATAACAGTGCATTCTCTATAATCCCAGCAATACTAGGAAAACACACAACTTGTGCACAGAGTGATAAATACAAGAATATACATTGTGCCAATGTTTATAATAATTTGGCAGAATCTAAATGTTCATCAGGGGAATAACTAAATGGCAGTATTTTTATATTACAATACTATACATTAGTGTTCATAAGGAGCTTTAGGTTAAGTCCCTCTTTATGGGCCTGAAAATCCCCTGATAATCATTATGTAAGTAATACTTTTTCCCTTTTGCATAGGAGAAAAATGGAGTTAGATTGAAACACATTAGCAATTCACATGAATATTTGTGTGCTATTTTCTAGATGAATAGATACACCTATGAGAAGTCTTTTTTCATAAAAACATGTTTTTCTGCTGTTTAATATATATATTAAAAAATAAGAGGGGAATAACCCATTTTCCCAAGGAAATTAAGATTGAATATTGCCTTGGTTCCTAAGTTCCTGCCATGGGAGGTAATAGAAAGAGCCAACCCCTTTTGCTTTGAATAAGCATTGTGGGTTTAAAAGCAGGCAAGCCATGTTCAAAAAAGGTTACAGCCATGCCTATCCTGAGACTCTGTTCCACCTGTCTTCCTCCAAGAGACTAGCCTATGCATGTGTTATACTATGTGTCAGAATGCAAGAGGGCAAGATCAATTTTACAACGTTTTTCAAGTTTCTGCTTGTGTCACATTTTCTGATATAATGGTCAAAGCAAATTACATAGCTTATCCCAAGAGTCAGAGTGGAGTGCCCTGCCAAGTTACATGGCAGTGGACATGGATATAGGGATGGTGAAGAATTGGAAGCATTTTTTAAATCTATCCCATGCACCCCTACTGTGTCCCAGCAATATCATAGATCCCTAGCCCTCCCTCTTCCCCAACTTTGTTGCACACAGAATATACTTAAACGGTATACCAAAGCAAAAAACTGGGGCTGCTCTTGGCTAGATGTGACTGACTATCCAAGGACTAGGGAACTAAATATCTAGACAACTGGTAACCTATTTGCAGCACAATGTAAACTCTTATGAAGTGTGTGCATACATTGAAATTCTCATTTATAGTTAAGTGATAAACTCAATTTTCAAAAAATAGAAATTAGTAAAAATTTTAATATAGAAAAATGTAATGTGCCATTTATTATCATTTCAGATGTATGCATATACTTGTCATTGCATCTGCTTTTTATTTTGAGGCATAATTTACACACAGCTATACCCATTTAACATATATTTGGATCTGTTTTAATATATTTCAATATATATTAAACTTCATATGTAATAATAGATCACATATATGTATTTTCCTGTACATGTATACAAAACTACCGCTATATAAGCTGGAGTGGCTATATTAATATCACACAGTTTCAAAGCAAAGAATAATGTTAGCGATAAGGAAGGCCATTTCATGATAATACAGGATAATACAGTCCCTTACTCAAGAGAACATTACAATTCTAAATGTTTATAGCTCTAATAAAGCTTCAAGATACACAAAGACTGATAAAATTAAGAATAAATAAGTAAAAGGTTTGAATACCCTTCTTTCAGTTGATAAAACAAGTAGAAAATCAGCAAGGATATAGAAAATTCTAACGCACAACCAAGTTGACTGGATTGACATTTATAGAACACACTACACAACAGCAGCAGAATAACATTCTTCTTAACATTCTAAAGTGCAAACATTGTATTTATCAAGATAGACTATATTCTGGGTTATAAATCTCAATAATTTATTAAGTCAAAAAATATCAAGTCATACGAAGTATATCCTCTGAGCCAAGTGAAATTAATAAGAAATCAATAACAAATCTCTGCAAAGTATTTATATAGTGTGAAATTAACACTTTAAATAACTCATAAGTCAAAATATAAACAGTAGTACTCAAAATGAATGAAAATTAAGAACATACCAATATTTGTATTTAAAGGGAAATATATAGCACTAAGAGCTTTTATTAGAAGATGTCAAATCAACGACCTTTGCTTCCACTTAAGAAATTGGAAAAGAGCAAACAACTTTATGGCAGAAAAGGAAAAAGATTAGAGTAGAAATCAATGAATAGGAAGTAAAACAAATGAGGAAAGTTAATGAAACAAAAATTTGCTTCTTTGAAAAGACTGATAGAATTAACCTTCAGCCAAACTGATCAGGAAAAAGGGAAGGTAAATATTACCAATATCAAACAGTGAGAGAGGTGAAATCACTATAAATTCTACAGGTACTTAAAAATTGAATGAATATTGTATGAATATTGTATGAATATTGCATGAATATTGTAACAACTTTATCAATAATTTGAATGACTTAGAAAATAATTTGAATGACATTCAAAGCTCAGTCAAGAAGAAATAGATAACTTGAATAGCTTTATATTATTTTTTTAAATAGAATTTATACCTTCCCATAAAGACCATATGGTACCACAGGTGAATACTACTAAAATTTTGAAGTAGAAATAATTCTACACAAATTCTTCCAAAAAATTGAAGCATAGAGAGTATTCCCAATGTATTCCATTAGGTCACCATTACCCTGATAGCAAAACTAGGCAAAGATGTGAGTCAAACTATAGGCCAATATCCTACATGAACATGGATGCAACAATTAACACAAAAGGGGATTAAAGGATAACATAAAGAATATAAAAAAGAAATGTAATGACCAAGTGGAGATTATCTGAGCAATGCAATTTTGGTTTACATTTGAAATGCATCTCAATGAAATCTACCATATCAACAGACCAGAAGAAAACAAATATAACTTATCACTAGACATTTGAAAAGCATTAGATAACATCCAACTTACTTATTAAAAACAACAAACTAGAAGTAAAGGAACTTCCTCAATCTGATGAAGGGCTTCTTACAGAAAACTACAGGTAACATCATAATGATGAAAAAATAAGTGCTACCCCCCACCACCAGAGCTCCCCCAAGATCAGGGACAGGGCAGGAATGTCTGCTCTCACCATTTCTATTCAACATTGTACTAGAGGTTCTAACCAGTGCAGTCCAGGCAAGAAAAACAAAAGACATACTTTTATTGGAAAAGAAGAAAAGGTATTCCTAGGCAACATGATTATTGGAAAATTCTTTGGAATTTATTTAAAATAAAAACTAGAACTCTGAGCATATCAAAGTTGTAGGAAACAAGTATACAAAATTCAATTATATTTCTATATACTAGCAACAATCAGAAACATATAAAAACAATAGTATTTACAATAGCACTGTATTCATGAATCAGAAGAGTTGTTATTGGTAAGCTGTCTCTCCAAATTTATAGATTTAACACAATCCTATCAGGCTTTTGTGTTTTTGTTTTTGGAATGATACAGTATTGCAAAGGACCTAGAATACTAAAATGAACAACAAAAAGGTCTTATGCCACCAGACTTTAAAGGCTTATTATAAAGCCACAGTAATAGAGACAATGAACAACATGATACTGGCATCAAATTGATTGATAGAAGAGAACAGAGTCCAAATATAAATGTAGACATATGGATACATCAGGCCAACTGGTTTCAGACAAAAATGTGAAGGCTATTTAGTGGAGAAAGGATAATTTTTTAACAGATGGTACTAGAACACTTAGATATCCATTTTTACCTTTGTGGTAGACAATAATGCTTACCCAAAGTTACCAGGTCCTAATCCCTGCAACTGTAAATTTTACCTTATAAAGAAAAAGGGTCTTTGCAGAAGTGATTAAGGATCTTTATTTCCATGGAGAGATGATCCTGGATGATGTGAAGATGGAGGCAGAGATTGGAG